CCAATCCATTCTTCAACACGTGGTTCGAATCCTTGCCACCAGATGCATGACGTCGCAGAATACTTCTGCGCAGGGACTCACGCGGAGTCCGAATTCCGCCACTACGGTCTTGCCTCGTTAATTTACACCCATTTCACCTCCCCCATTCGGCGGTACGCAGATTTGGTCGTCCACCGCCAATTAGCTGCTGCAATCGGCTACGAAGGACTCGGCGCCTCTCCAGCCGAAGGACTGGCTGCCCGGAGCCGCCTAGAGGATATTTGCAAAAATATCAACCATCGCCATCGTAATGCACAGCTTGCTGGCCGTGCAAGTATAGAATACTATGTTGGACAGGCGCTCAAGGCGCGCGGCGAACAAGAGGCGTCTAAGCTTGGGGCAAGTGTGGGGACGAATGCGGGGATAGATGAAGAAGGGTATGTCATGCGCGTGTTTGACAACGGAGTTGTTGTTTTCGTACCGCGATTTGGCATCGAGGGCGTTGTGAGGTTAGAGGATTTCATCATCTCTGGAACTCAACCGGGTAAGGGGAAACAGGTTGCTCCCAGGCGGGAAAGTGAGTTCGATGCGGAGGAGTATTCGTTGAAGGTTTGGGAACGAGACGGTGAGAGTGGAGCTGGTTGGAATCCGAAGAATGGCGTGGTGGTCGACTTGTTTGACAGAGTTAAAGTTAATGTGAGCTCCGTGAAAGAGGAAGGGGGCCGTGGGGCTGGAAAGAGGAGGGTTCGAGTATTAATTCTGGGCAAAGCTTAGTTTAAATTGTTCTTGTTACGTCGAAAGGTGGATAGAATGGAATTTCGCTTAAGAGAGCTTGCATTCCCATCTACTCTGAAAGCAGTCGACAAATTATCCAATCAAGGTATGCATTGCCATACCGGATAATTTTGAAAATAATGAAAGCAAAGTACTTAAACCTATTTTTTGATGTCTTTTACTAATTCTGTAAGTCCTAATAGTTTTTTTTTTTTTTAAAAAAAAAAAAAAAAAAAAAAAAAAAAAAAAAAAAATTTTTGAAATAAGTGTATTTACGGTATATATATCCCTCTGTATTGAATTCCGGTTTCCAAATTAGGTAGGAATTTTTCAAAACTGCAATGCTATGTGATTTAGTCATAAATCAATCACTTCATAGCAAAAATACCATGCTGTCTATGTTTCCTCGACAAGTAAGAACTTGGGAGAGATTTGAAGGAACGTGAGTCTAGCGGCTTGCTCTTTGCGGATCTCTAAAATCTCGATTATCACACATGCTCCCATGTGACCATCCGGCAGAGAAGAACGGTAGGGTTCCATGCACTCGTGTTAGAAGCAGGAGTGGTAGTACCTGAGGACGATTCTCGTGGTGGCAGCGTTGGCTGGCTTGATTGATGAGGCTTCTCTCCAGGTATACAGGTTCTATCATCTGTGGAAGTAACTGTCGCATGATGTGAACTTGGATTAATTTTCACCGCCTTCGCAGCATTGGCAGCTTCTGCGGCCGCCTTTCTCTCCGCAGCAACGAAATTATCGCCAATTTTCCAGCTACGTACGACCGACAGACATAAGGCGCCAATAACATATGCGAGTCCTGCAAAAATCTGGGCGTATAGATACGCACGGTTGCCCTTCGAATCATCTTTCAAGAGAACTGCGATTGGCTCCGAAACAGTCGTGGGAGGAACCATGAGAACCCAGATAATGCTCAATCCGCTGGGGAGCATTTGGAGACCGATAACTTCAGCACACACTGGAACAACCGTGGTCCAGAATGTGCCTGCTACAGTCCCAACGATGATTGCAAAGAAACATAGCAGACCCATGCTCTGAGTTGGGGTCCAGACGGCTACGCAGAATACACCACAGAAAAGTGAGATAATGGTGGGCCATGTTGAGGCGACCATAACGATCACTGAGCAAACCAACAATTGGGCGACCAAGGCCCTTGTCCAAGGTTAAGGACGGCGCCAACAATACTCCCTTGGTGTGCGGTGAGTCCGATTGAGAGTGCAAAGTTGGGGAGGCTGAAGAGTATCACGACGTATCCTAGCAAGCTTAAGAAACCCCATGCCTGTAACAGGAGGAATTCGGGTCGTTTGAGCAGAGGGAAATGAAATGCTTTGTATTGGGATCTAGTAGCTTTGTTTCGGTCTCGGATCAGATTGGCTGCGATGACATTGACCACAAATGTGATAATACCGAGGATGCGAAATGTCCACCCAAGTCCGAAACGGGATATCATTGAGCCCGTGGCGAGAGAATAGGTTAATCCGCCGACACCGGAGCCTGCAGCTGCAATGGACGTCGCAATGCTTCGTTTGCGGAGAAACCACTGCGAAGTAACGCCCACGGATCCAATAAACAGGAAGCCCATACCGAATCCGAAACAGACACCCTGGCTCAGAAATAGTTGCCATTGCTGTTTAGCAAAGGAGGCACTGATAAACGAGATTGTTTGGAGCACAGCTCCTATGTTGAGAATGAGTCGATTGCCAAAAAGGTGAACCATGTGTGTTACTAAGGGAGCGATCAGGAGGCAACATGACATGCTTAGGCCGCCCGTGAGAGCGTAGGTGATGTCGCTGGCGTCGGGGAAAATGTCATTGGACAAGTAATATGATAAGAAGACAGCATATGACTAGTTCAGGAAATTAGAGAAGCCAATGAGTTCTTTGATTTATCATTTCACCTACAGAATTTCCAGACGAAAATATTGGCAAGGGAAACAATATTTCAACTTACGCTATTAACACCCCATGTGTTTCCGTTAATCCATGCTGAACAAGCTACGCACACCCATCCATAGCCGCCATCTGGCGGCACATCCTCCGGAGGTTTCTCGTCTACCCATTCCTCGGATTGTTGGCTGATATCGTTCTCAGGAACCTTATCTGCTGGCGATCCGTTCTTACTTGGCAGAGACTCCGCAGCGGCTTGATGCGAAATAACTTCAGTCACAATTTCTCTTGAAGAATGATTCGCCATTACTCTACTGGGTCATATCCCCGGTAGATTGGTCAAAGTGAATGCTAAATTCTTAAATCTAACCTGCCAATACAGTGTTTTATGCGGAGTTCAATGATGTGAGTTTTTCGGAAGTGAAAAAAACCCAACATTGGGCAAAAACAACCAGTGTATGGAGAAAATTAGTTTGAACTCGGAGGATTGACATTTGAAGCAGAAAATATTGCTGGATATTGTAAGAAAATAGCCGGTCTTGGTTCCAGACAATTCCAACGCAATGCGCAAGAGCGAAGCGTGAAAATATCAAAAGGATCAAGTCCCATCATGACGGATACCGTAATGAGTAATTTTTTCCGTGCCTAGGCCAATGCGGAGGATTTCCGGCACCGACTTTTCGGAGAAAAGAAGTGTGGTGATGTGGGGTATTGTAGGAGGATAACGTTCATTGTTACTAAACTAAGTACGAGCAATAATATGTTGGGGGGCACGTGATAGGGTAGCCGTAGTACCCCCTAACAGGTATTGACAAAGTTAGCCGGATACGAAGCAAGGTTGCCCGCAGTGGCCACTGGCCAGTGGCGACGCCGATTCCAACGGTAAAGAATCTGGTGATTGTTTGGAGTTAATTACCGACTTTCGATTGCGGGGAAAGCTGAGCCAAAACAACTGCAGAGGTGCAATTTTTAGAGTGGGATGATGATATAGAAAATAACGATACGGCGATACCCCGAATCTTAAACAATGGGTTGTCTGCTGCTCAATCCCTTGAACAAGAAGTGAGCATTGTCCTTCATCAACTCCGATGTTGAGCATTTTGTTAGTGTCTAAGAATCAATCGTTGCCGTTGGGATGTGTATTGTTCAACCCACACTCAGTCACCATATCGGCGTGAAATGGGCTTGTTCTTCAATTGATAAGAAGCCTACTGGCCGAGATTCATGAAGATGAGGGAGCGGATGTGGGTGGTAATACTTGATGCGCTGCAAATAATCAGTTAGCACTGATCCTGCTCGGGCGTTCAGTCCCAGCGAAGAAGAATTCTTCGTTAGCTGATTTGATTGCTATTTGGGCGCTGAGATTCTTTGAGATGCAGTTTTGAGAAGCTTGCAGGTCTGTCGAGGGGTCTGACGACCAGCAGCGCCCTGGACCTCTCCGGGACTACAAGGACTGAACGCAAGATAAGACCCCACGAGGGCCATCTCAAACGGCTTCGCGATCATGACTACCGTCTTGCATCTTACATCTGGCTACCTGCGAAGCCGACTGCAGATGTTCTTCAAACAAGCCTGGACCGTGATGGGGCTCTGCGTTGTCCAAGCGACTGGTCACGTGAGACATGACATGGCGTTTGTTGATACGACGCCCCAAAGAAGGATATTGTGAGATTGGATTGGAGACAGGGCGACGAGGACGGCGGAAGACGAAACACAAAAATACAGGTTGACGTTCCTACAACTGTCTTACCATAGCGTTATCCATAAACATTGCTACATACATCAACATTCAACAAATATATATATATTTGCTCTCTGCGGAGTTCTATACCAACCAAGCGCTGTTCTCTTCAGCTCCCAGTTAGCCAGCCATATATTATAATCCACCATTACGCCTTCAATAATTCCCAATATCGTCATTGTTTAGTATAATCTGGTCTCACCCTATTAAGGGCAACTATCAGTGAAGCCTACCAGCAACCATGATACACTCAAGGTCCAAACACGGGACCCGAAAAGTCTCACCTCCTGGGCCAAGTTACATGAATGAGGAACAGATTGGTCAGTAGTCCTTCATTCTCGTTCACCTTCCAGCGTACCATAGCTATTGGCATTGTATCCACATGAGATAGCGGTTGTTTATATCTTCGCATGTCGCCTACGCTCCGGTTAAGGAGCTACCTAGCCACGAGTGCTAACCTGTTTCTTACCAATAGCGACGTATCTGAAGGACCTACGAACCAATAGGCCCCCACGCCCTAATGGATCTCGACCCTTTCCTACCAAGAGCATCTCATCGAGCCAAAAACTCAGGAGCGATCTACCACCCCGTGCATCGTCAGCACTTTCCATGAACATTGACTCAGAAAACCATCGTGTTTCCTCCCTCGAGCCCTATCAGCGCTCAGCGAGTGCTCTATCACACCACAGGAAACACTCAACACTTTCCAATGGAAGTGTATCTACTGAACAATCGTTGGAAGAAGAGCCAGAACAATCGTATGATTTATCAAGAAGTCTCTCTCCAGCAGCAAGTATTAGGTCGACGACGGGAACATACAGAGTACGGGGCCAGAGATGGATGGAACGAGAGGAAGCACGGTCGTTACGGCAAGCTTTGGAAGAAATGGACTTCCGAGATGATGAAAAGCGGTTGCATGCTGCAGCCCAAGAGGAAGCTACCCAATTGGTATTCAGTCACCAGACCTCCGGCTTTCCAAAGCTTAATCCACATGCTCCCTACCTGAACCCTGACCTAATTGCCACCAATCAATTTCGTCAGCATCTGAAAAAAGGCGCGTATGCACGAAGTCAAAGTATGAATACCTCTGAAGAACGGAGTCAGAGTGTTTCCCAGTCAAGAAGCCACAGATCTGCATCGGATAGTTCATCGAACGGGGGCCGTACAGGCAGAGAAAGCCCCGAGTTCCAAAGGCGTGTGGACCCAACCGGGTCCAATCTTTCGCCAAAGATAGTCGACGTTCCAGAGGATAATGAAACCATCTCGGTCACAAAAAACGGAACTCTGACCCAAAAACCGAGGGTTAATTTTGCCTTGGAAACGGATAATTCCAATTCCCCAAGGACAGTCGTACAGAGGAAAGCCAGTTCCGCGGACGAGGATTGCCAGTAACGATTCAGCGAGGGGCATTTTTCGAAATCAGAGATCAGATATACGAGGAACCACAGGAGACGGGGCTCCAAATAATATTAGAACCACGGACACAGCACCACGAGCTCAGCTTTAAAAGTTAAGCCTCGAAATTCGTTGCCTCGAGGCACTCGACCCATTTCCCAAGAAATACCCTCCTGACAGCAAGAAATCTGTATTCGACATTCATAAGAACCCACTGTCACAAGCGAGGAATCCTGTTTATACAGAAAATCCATCTCCCTCACCCACTGCCACTAGTAACCCAAAGGGTGATGACACGCCCCAAACTAAAGATGGTAAAGAAATCCGTGGTGACGACATCCGCGCAGCAACGAGCATGCGACTCAAGGATCGTAGTAGTAAACTACCTATGCCAACCGTTGTTAGTGATCGTCCTGGCCGTCCAATTGTGAGCTTCGACCCATCTTGGAGCATCAAATCGCAGAGCAATTCTCCCAGAGACTCTCCCAGAAATAGCCTTGTTGGATCCATAAAGGAACCAGCCGTAGAGGTTACACCCCCTCCGGGGAATGTGGTACCCGCTATCAAAGTTTCGGATGATCCTCCAGCTCCAGTCATCAACGTTTGCGGAGACGATTCAGCGGCGTTAACCGTCTCATCCTCCGGGGTCCCAACAATTGCTGAGATGAAGGCTGCGGAGGAGAAACCCCGACCATTACCAAACCCCAGCGCGAGCCAAAATGGGAAGCAGAACCAGAGGAATTCGAGAGGTTCGTCTACAAACCGCTGGTATACTCCTTATACCCGAACTGGCGCTCCGACCGCTTCCTGCTCCGCTTGCGGGCTACCCATAGCCGGCCGCATCGTAACGGCCTGTGGATCCCGTTTCCATGCTGAATGTTTTTCATGTCACCACTGCCACACCCCACTTGAGTGCGTCGCCTTCTATCAGGAACCTGAAGGTAAACGAGCCGAAAGGCTCGCGGATGCCGACTCCAACGACGAAGAAGCCAATGCTCTGAGATTTTACTGCCACCTAGATTTCCACGAGCTTTTCAGCCCACGGTGCAAGAGCTGCAAGACGCCTATAGAAGGCGAGGTTGTCGTCGCGTGCGGGGCGGAGTGGCATGTCGGGCACTTCTTTTGTGCCGAATGCGGCGACCCCTTCACACCGACTACCCCGTTCGTGGAACATGCTGGGTATGCGTGGTGCGTCCGTTGTCATTCTAAGCGAACTGCCTCCCGCTGTCAGGGGTGCAAGCAGCTTGTGCTCGACGATCTTGTGGTCACTGCTCTGGGTGGGGAGTGGCATGAGAAGTGTTTCGTGTGCAGCGAGTGTAGTGGCAGCTTCGGGCCGGAAGGGCGCTTTTTCGTCAGGGAAGGGAAACAGAGATTCACGAAGAACGGGCGACCGATTATTGGCTCCACCGACACAGCTGTGTGCGAAGCTTGCGAGGGCCGAAGACTGAAGGCCTAATTACCTTTTGATGAATTTTTCTTCTTTTTTTTTAGGTCAACATTACCGCTACGGAATACAAAATCTTGGTTCGAAGGTTAAAGCAGCCTTGTCGACAGACACCCTGCTTGGGGAAGATTGTTGGCTCTGTTCTGCTCTGAAACCCTGCGCCATGCTGAGCGCAAATCGGTATGAATTTTGGGTCCTTCTGATAAAATTAGCATGACTATCATCGTGAGCGTTGTTTTTTGAAGGGGATGTATTCGGTCTTCTTGATTTCTGGGTTTGCTTTTGTGTTCTTCGCGTGCTGTCATTAGTTTTGTTTGCCATTTTCTAAAGCTGAGCTCCAATCTTTGGCGCTATGAGAATATGATATGGGAGGTGGTGGCTGTGAACAGATTTAATTTTGATGGATATAATTGTGGGAATTTTGACAATGGTTTTTTCATATATAGCTTATCATTGTTGCCAGTTCTTGTATTGCTCATTCACCAAGAGTTCGTGCCTGAAGTTTCAAGTATCAACGGGATTCATCCTTGATGCTACTTGTTTCAACGGTATTGAATTATCAAAGAGGCTCCCTTTTCCGGGGTTTGCAGTCGCAGCCACCCATATCTTAAGGGTGCCTTTTTAAATCAAATTCGAAGCTTGCACCATCTTTCTTCAAAATGGCCTTAAAACACAGTATCTTCCATTTTCAAATATGTGCAAAACTGCCGATGATGGTCTTGGCACTTCATGGCCATTGCGGATCCTCCATTCTCCTCCATACTGCGACATATTTCTTGCCGTTATTTCTTGTGACTTTCTTCCCTTCCTCCGTCTCCTCCATCATAATCCTAACGCACGGATCTTGCTCTAACTCTTCATCGCCAACTCTCTCAAATAGCTCTTTCACAGTATTTATCTGTCCCTCCTCCCCCGCCCCCTCTTCGTCCCCATACCCAACATCAAAATGGCTGACCATCCACCTATGCAACTCCTCCACATCGGTGATTGTATACAGCTTCCCACCCGGCCTGAGAACATATGCGTACTCCGCGTTTAGCGATGACGACACAATCCGCGCCTTGTGCTTGCGGGTTTTAAAATGCGGATCTGGGAAGCAAATGAATATAGCAGATAGTTGGTGGCGGGTGAAGAAATTCGGCAGGAATTTCATGGTGTTTGTGCGTATCGCGGAGATATTTTGGTAGCTCGCCTGTGACGACGGCGACAACGAGGGCGGGTCCGGAGAGGGTGACTGTGATTGGGATTGCGGCGGCGAAGCCGCAGGAACAGCTGCTGTTGGTGGGGAATTTGAGGGTAGTTGTGCTGGGGGCGTTGGTGGTGTGTGCTCGGTGGGCAAGGGAGGAGCGGGACGTTGTGCGCGGAGCGCGCGAATGCGGTCCGTCACGTACTCGAGGACTTGAGCGCGGAGCTCCATACCTGTGCCATTACTGTTAGGACTGAACGGTGTGCAACTTGGTTTCATTCGGATGCGAGATACTCACCAACCATCAATGTATCAGGCATTAAAGGCGCCAGGGCGACTAGCAGCCCTCCAAACCCGCATCCAATATCCGCTATTTCCACATCTTTTATTAGGCGCCGTGTACCGCTCAAGTTCACATTATCCGGATTTGGGACTACAAACGCAGGGTAATGCGTTGACCAATCCATATGAGCTGGGCTGATTGGGCTGGAGAGGTAGATTGGATAGATCAGCCTCTCCCAGTATTGAAGTTTTGCGCCTCGTGAGATTTTTGGTAGGCTACTTACTATGACAATCGATGATCTGAAAACGGGTTCGCATGAGCCCGCTGCCGGTATAGTCTTTTCTTAGGGAGCTGGACCTCGCCGATCCGAATCTGTTGTTCTTGAGTTTCGCGGTACTCCCTGCGCTTCTGGCGCTTGCTAGGTTGCATGGATGCCATTTCCAGTGTTATTTCTGCGTTTTGTCTCTGCGCTTTTGCATAGCCCAAAAAAAGATTTCTCCCCGTAACAATGGAAGGAGGAGCTCGGAGCGGAGATGGGTGATTTTCGGTAGATAGAAGCGCTGGAATATGGATATGGCTTCTGATAAATTCTAAATCCTAGGAATCGGGCCAATTGTACCCGGACCCTGCATCCCGCTTGGCTCTCCGGAATATAGCATCGGTGGTCATCATGAAATCTTATCATGGGTGTTGATCTTCCAAGGTTGTAGTTCGTTGTCACGTGGAGCGTGTCTTTGTAGGAGGATAACGTTCGTTGTTATTACTAAACTAACTCCGTTAACTAACGTAATTCCCAAGCGAGCGAGCAGCCCAAGCGAGCGAGCAGCCAAATTCTTCCACCTACTAATTTACCTACTCATCCACTTCAACGCGCAATTATGCCACCAATTCGCTCTAAAGATGCTAGGAACTCTATAGAGATAGAGGGAAGACTTGAACTCGCGATAAATGCTATTAAAAAGCAGGAAATATCCTCTATTTCTGAAGCTGCACGCATCTTTAATGTGCCACGCTCTACACTTGGTCATAGACTCAGTGGTCGATCTTCACGGGTGAATTTACGCGCAAATTCACATAAATTAACTCCTGCTGAAGAGGATAAGCTTGTTCAATGGATCCTAGACCTAGCTTTACGAGGACTACCACCCCGGCCTGCATTTGTGGAGAATATGGCTAATCATCTTCTTGCCATACGGAAGCCTAGCCATACAAACCACCCTCCTCGCGTTGGCAAGAACTGGGTGTCAAATCTAGTGGCACGCCGTCCAGAGCTCCAATGCCGCTTCTCAAGACGCTATAACCATGATCGGGCCAAGTGTGAAGACCGCAGGATTGTGGAGGATTGGTTTAAGACCCTAGAGAGGGTAATGACTGAGCATGGGATTGTGTTTGAAGATATTTACAACTTTGATGAAGCTGGGTTTGCAATGGGGCTCTGTGCAACTACCAAGGTCATTACTAGTGCTGAGCACTACGGACGAGCAACTCTTATACAGCCTGGGAATCGTGAGTGGGTGACTGCAATTGAGTCAGTCAACGCGTCAGGATGGGCCCCTCCGCCGTATATTATCCTCAAAGGTCACAATATTCAGGAAGGCTGGTTTGACGGGCTGCCGGAAGGCTGGAGATTGGATGTTAGTCCTAATGGCTGGACCACAGATGAGATAGGAATCAAATGGCTTACACGGCTGTTTATTCCAGCTGCAAATCCACGCAGGGTTGGAACCCATATTCTTCTTATTCTGGACGGGCACGGCAGTCATCTTACTCCGGAATTTGACCAAATCTGCAGTGAGAATAAGATTATTCCTCTCTGCATGCCACCACATTCTTCACACCTTTTGCAGCCACTAGATGTGGGTGTTTTTGCACCTTTAAAGCGCGCGTACGGAACCATAGTTGAACAGCGAATGCGGCTAGGATTCAACACCATTAAGAAGGCAGATTTCCTAGATGCCTATCCTGCAGCACGTCGGGAAGCCTTCAAGGCTTCAAACATTCAAAGTGGGTTCAGGGCCACTGGAATAGTTCCATTGGATCCTCAATGCGTTGTTCAGCAGCTGAATATTCAACTCCGAACCCCTACTCCCCCAGCCAGCAGGTCAAGCAATTCAACGTCATCCTGGATCCTACAAACACCTAGTAACCCCCGGCAATTGCAGAAGCAGGTGAATAAGGTCAGAAATCTTATGGATCAGGATCAACCTCATGGGTTAGTGGAAGGCTTTGACCAAATAATCAAGGCCTGCGAATACGGGATGGTCAGCGCCATGATTATGAAGAAGCAGTATGAGGATATTTTCAATGCAAATGAGAAAGAGAAGCAAAAACGCAAGAGGTCTACACGCAGGATCCCAAGTGCAGGGGGTCTAACTAGGAATGAAGCTCAGAATCTTATTATTCCTGCAGCTGAGCCTGTTGAACAGCCTGTTATTCAACATTCCGTACCTGCGGCCCCGGAGCCTAGACCCCGCATACGAGCGCCACAACGCTGCAGCAATTGCAATACTGTTGGGCATACAAGAATAAGATGTCCTCAACTTCATGTAATTTAATTTAATTTAATTAGTGGTTGGTGGGAGTAGATAATTTGATTTAAATTCTGGTTAGTTGAGATATGCTAGTTTTGCTGCTCGCTCGCTTGGGCTGCTCGCTCGCTTGGGAATTACGTTAGTTATCCTCCTACATAGCCGTAGTACCCCCTAACAGTCTTATCTGATTGGATCTACATCATCTCTTTTGGAACCTACATCCCGCACATGTCCCGTCCCTTTGTAACGAAGTCCGACAAGCAGTAGACGCATCTGCGCCCCGTCGTTCCCTATGTGCGGAGCTTGACCATGTCCACATCCTCCCCGCCCCAGCCCTCCAGCCCCATCCTCCTCCCAACCACTCCTGGCGGCTTAACGACAGAACATCTCTCTCCCTTCATCACCACATCCTCATCGCCATCTACCCCGGTACCAACAACAACACCCGCAGGTGCATCCGCAGCGCCAACAACACCGCCCTTCAAGTTCCCTGCAACCTACTCTTTCCCGCCTTTCTTCACCCTCCAACCAAACACCACAACCCGCCTGTCTCAGTTCCAAAAATGGTCGGCGTTAATCCAGGCCTGGTGCCGTCATCATCGCCTCTATCGCCTCTCACTCATAGATGCCATTGACTCTCCACTCTTCCATAATGCGGATATACATAAGCGACTTAGTCTGGCAGATGCAAGGACTGTTGTTGATTGGATGGTTCGTGGAGAAGGAGGTGGTCGAAGGGCCGAATGGGTTGGTGGAGAGTCTGGGGGAAAGGCGGTGGCATGGATATGGTGGAGGACACCTGAGGAGTGGGCCAGTGTTTTGGCCGATTGGGTATGCTCTCGTTGTTGTCTCCTGGGCCTCTTCCTTTTTGGACCCCGTTTGGGGATTCGGCGTTCGCTAACTACGTGGTGTTACACATAGGTGGAAGAAACTGCCCAGAAAAATACTGTCCTTACGCTTTATGAGCTGATGGAAGGGGAGGCCACAGTTTCGCAAGGTCTGTTGTTTTCTTTTCCCTGTTCTATAAGCCGCTTGGAGCCTTAGAATCAGGTCTGATCAGTATGCTCATTTCAAGTGAAATTCTCTAGAATTCCATGGCATGGATCCCGACGTTCTGTCAAAGTCGCTTAATGTTCTAGTCAAGAGAGGTAAAGCGCAAGTATTTGGCAACGAAGATTCACAGGGCGTTAAATTCTTCTGAGAGTTGCCATGCGTCGTGAGGTAGAAACAACACGCGCGCCCCCGTTATCCATCATATTGCAAGGAGATATCTTGACCCAGCTTAACATTACAAAAGCTACAAACAGGAGAGCTGGGGATGCCCAAAGATAAGCTTGCCTTACGGAAAAGAATATAGAGCAAAAAAATACAAGCCACAGAAATCCTGACGAAATTGAAAAATGCTACATCGCTTTCCATGCGAACCACCACAGAAACAAAAAAACAAAGATAACGCCTTGCCACACCCAAACTATTCACACGGACATACACTATATATTGTGCCACACTATCAAAATCATGCAAACTAAGTGTCGGTCATCTGAACATCTTCAACCAGTTCTAGAGAATCGTCCGTCCGCCATTCCTGCGCCATGGCAATATTCAATAACCAATCCGGACGAACAATCTTGGGAATCTTCTTCGCATTCAACACCATGTTCCTGAACTTGGGCCACAATCTCACGTGGTTTTTTTCAGTGCCGCTGATTAGATATATTTCATCAAAACTTGGCGCCCCGTCGTTTTCCTTGTTTTCACCACTGCGACGTCGATTTGGCAAAGTGATACCAGATCGACCACGGAACAGAAAACATTGGCCACCATTGGTTTCGATGATGGATTTGAATGCGTCAAAGCCACCAGGAATGGTTTCAACGCAGTATATTATCCTGCCATTGAACAGTTGGTTCTTGTTTTCAAGCGCTTTAAGCCTAGCTTTCTCTAGTGAGAAGTTATATTTCTTCTCAGACTTAGGGTCCCGTAGAAGGAATTCGTTCGGGTTCAATAATTGGTTCTGCTCGAGGCACGCGGCTACGAAATTTGCATTGAGGATAACGGGTGCGTAGGCAATGGCATTGACAAATTTATGCGTTCGCAAGACGGAAGGGGCGGCTAGATGTGTGCATTTACTCGCGTCTTGAACAATATGGATACCTAAATTGCGTAGTTTACGCTGTGTAAATTTAAGTAGTTAGCTGAAACAGATCCGGTTGATAACTCGTTACCATCCTAACACCACTCGGAGGAAGGATGCCACAAACCTCTGGTCTGGACTTCCTCCCGATTTTAGATCCCCCACCCATTTTCGATAGCCAGTGAGCAAAGATGCATAACAATAGGAACCGGTCCCGCTTCGCTTTTGGACACCATTTGTATCTTCAGCGTCTGTTTCGTCTTGCGGATCTATGGATCTCTTGCGAAAAATAACTTTCTCATTAGGATCGCTCCTCCTGCGACCACCATAAATAACCCCACCAGCACGTTTTTTTTCCTTCTCGTATAGAGCGATATCTGGAGCAATTTCTTGTAATCGTGCAGCGGCTACATCTTTGGATTTTCGACTTCCCGTCGTTGAAGGGGTAGCGTTCTCCTTGCCCTCTGCAATGAATTTCAAAACCTGTGGGGTCTGAAGATGGGCGCCCCGAACCCCGGTTAAAGATTGGTTGCGTTTGGATGCTCTGGGAGTTCCTTTCGTACGAGCCGGATGGATTGTATTTTCCTTGATAGGTTCTGAGACTTCTGAATCACGACTGCTTGAAAGATTGTTGTCCTTCGGGTGCATGACTGCGGATGGGGCTTTCCAATGCGGAACCGCAATATCTTCGGGGAAGAAATGTTCTTCAATAGCAAACCGATCAATTTTAGTTTGGCCAACGATTTCTCCTAGGTTGGTCCGATGCGGGAAATGTGTGTAGCGGGGGTCTGTAACTGTTTGGAGCTGCCACTTAGCGTAGCTCTCTTCGAGCCAGAGGTGATTGATAACGTGAATATTCCACTCCTTTGCTGCGGTGCATTTTTCACTTGTGCCGTGGGCCGTGATCAAGTGGGTATTGTCCTGTTTTAGTGTTTTCGTGCACTCAGCACCAGTAGCAGCGATTAAATTTTCCAGATATATCCGCGCCTCCCCAGCGTAATTGGACAGACTGATCTTGAAGCTATCAAATCCTGGGATTCCATGCCTAGAGAGTGGATAGTGGAGGAGCCGTCGTAACGGGGAGATCCACGAATTATGTGTTATGAGATGAAAGAGCCAAGATAAATTTCCCACGTCTTTGCCAAGTCTTGATGCCACTCTGTACTCCTCCCCTTCACGATAGCGACAAATGTAAAGGTTGGTCTGTCGAACATTGTTTGTAACATGGCCACCGCTCTCTACAATCAAATCTTCAAGACAGTTGCGAAGGCGCGCAGCAATCTCTAGGTCCTCCGACAGCATTACAGTCTTTCCCTCGAAAACGTTTAGATCGCTCCGGACTTCCTCACGCAATGATTCAGGAGAGGGAAGTTTTGGCTCAGGTGTTGACGCGCCAATAATATTTTTATTTTCGGTGATTCGCACAGGAGCGCTATGGCGCAAACGAAGTATCTCTGGATCTGGCAACAAATAGGGACGCTCGTCGATTCTCCTTCCTAACTTAATACAATCATCAGACCTAAGGTACGAAGTTGGACAATATTCGTTTAGCTTTTAAATTGGGTGGGGAAATTGAATTTATCAATGGGGAAGAACTATTTTGATATTTAGCCCTCTATTCATCATACTGGGGCATTTGTCAGAATCCATGGACAAAGCCACCCGATGCGTTGTGGTGCGTGTAATTTTGTAACTGGAAAGCCCTCGCATCGCTCAAACCGCACCAGAAATGGCATCTTGATCATCCTCTGGAATATCCACGCAAGATACAACAATCATCATTTTATGAAGAGCCTTGGGTCTGGCTTATAATTTCGAGGGTTGTACGAGTTGTGTTTCTCGAAATTGACCCATTCACCCATTGGGGGTGTGACATCTGCGGATCACGACGTCGCAGGCTGCATCATGGACAGGAAAATCAATGGTGGAATATACAACAGGAGTAAATTCGTGGAGGGACTATACCGATGCCGGAAATCTGCTGGAGAGTGACCTTACCCCCATGGAT